TAGAGAGACAGAGCATGAACGGGGGAGGGGCAGAGAGAGAGGGAGACACAGAATCGGAAACAGGCTCCAGGCTCTGAGCCATCAGCTCAGAGCCCGACGCGGGGCTCGAACTCGTGGACCGCGAGATCGTGACCTGGCTGAAGTCGGACGCTTAACCGACTGCGCCACCCAGGCGCCCCTTCCATTCACTTTTTTAAATACACTAAGCTTTCAAACAGGCAATTTCTAAGAGGGTTGACACGATCTTCCGTAAATTCATCATGAACATAGCCTGCACTTCCTGTTCCCTGTTCTGAATTCAGGAATACACACACATGCAGTGCGTGTAAACTGGGAGAAAGCTAACCAATGCAGTGAAAATATAAGTGTACATTAAGTCCACATTACTTTAAAACCATAAAGGTTTAAGACATAAATAAATAACTGAAGGTTTAAAACATGAGCACTTATTTGAAAAGCTGGCTAACTCCCGCGTGCTTTACAAGCTACTGAAGAAATATAAAAGCCGATACAACGAAGGGGTTAACCACGCAGAGAAGTGGCACTGACACAAATGAAATCACAGTGGAAATCGCTGGAGCGCCAAGCTGTAAGGTGCAGCCTGTGAGTGGCTAATTCCTTCCAGCTGGGTTTCATATTTAGCTCATTGAAATCTGAACACTTTCCTGAGAGCCCGCAGCACGTAATGCCATTGCAGTGAACTCCACGTGTGTCTTCAGCAAATTTGTTTTAGAGATTAACAAGTAGCATAGGAATTAAATTTGAAAAATCTAGGAGGCATCTGCGTGTCTTCTGGAAATGAAGAGTTTTGAATCCCGACTTCTGTGCCTCAAAAAATGTATGTAGAACCAGATCAGTGGAAGTATTAATTATCCCAAACTGGGAAGTGTGACAGCCTCAAATATGCAAGAAAGGTTATTGTGACTGAACACTACAGCAGACCTCAGGAAATCCCGTTTTGATTTGTTCGTGGGAAAATCCAGCCTGGCTCTAAAAGTAACAGGACCAGGGGCACCTGGATGGCTCAGTCGGTTAAGCATCTGACTTCGGCTTAGGTCACGATCTCACAGTCATGAGTTTGAGCCCCGCATCGGGCTCTATGCTGACAGCTCGGAGCTTGGAGCCTGCCTCGGATTCTGTGTCTCCCTCTCTCTCTGCCCCTCTCCAGCTTGCGTTCTGTGTCTCTGTCTTTCCCAAGAATAATAAATAAACATTCAAAAAAAATTTGTTTTAAAGTAATCGTGCCAGTATTCTGAAAATGTCCAAGATGGCTTTATGAGAGGCAACTCTGTCACCACTTTTATTCTGAGCGTGCTTTCCGCAACGTTTTGGCCGCTGGGATGCTTACAGTCAAACCTGCTGCCGTCCTCTGGCAAGTTGAGTCCTGGAGCTGGAGGGCGCGTACGCTCGTTCACCCTTAGCTTATCACTCTCCCTCCTCAAATTCTAAAACCTATGTTTCATAGATTCTTTTACATTTTCAGTATTTTCAGATTCCTAAAATCCTTCAGATATTCAGTTAAAAGCAGTTCCTGAGAATGTCTGACAAATTAAGGAAACTCCCAGAAATCAAATAAAAGAAAGTACAGGAAAACACGGCCAAAGGAGGAGCAGCTTGCAAGGAGCTTTAGAATTATTGGCTTGCTCTTGCCAACATGACGCTTGGTATTTTACGCCTGCAACTTTTTTCTGTGAAGGGTCAAACAGTAAATATTTTGGGCTTGTGGGCCACATACAGTCTCTGTCCCACATTCTTCATATTCTTTTTAAAACTGATAAAAAAAAACAACAACCCCAAACCCAACCCTTTGAAAATGCAAACCCCATTCTTAGCTCCCGGGCAGTACAAAGAGCAGGCTGCGGGCCACCCCTCGCTGGTCCTGTGGTTTGTGAATGTCATGCAGCCACATCGACTCCGCTCTTGCACGTGGAGCACCCTCACTGCGGCTCGTTCTCGGCTTAGCGACCCCTGGAGGGACTCTGGGATTCTCACTCACCTAGTAAATAAGGAGGCTTGGAGGAAGACTAGTAAGCCAGACACATGTGACGATGACCACCAGCAGTCCTGGTGACCAGCTCCTACTATCTGGAGCAAAAGACTCGTCTCCACGACGAAATAAGGAACCTGGACCGTTTCTTAAAAGATCGATATGGACATTTAAAGACTTAATTAAAAGAACAAACTCCTGCGATCAACAGGGCTTAGAATGCACATGGAGTGCCGTGCTTTCTGGCGGAGACCCTGGCAACGGCCACGGGCCAGACAGCAAGCCAAGGAAGGGAAGCCGGAGGTTCCCGGAGTCTCTTCCTTGGAAGAAAGAATACACAGCCTTCCCTGCAAAGTGTATCAGTTGGTTCCGAAGGGAAGGTGAGAACCTTCTCTAAAAACAGGTCCTGTGAACTCTTTCAAACTGGCTACCTTTGCACACAGAGAACTCAAGGACCTAACAAAATGCCTGGGTTTCTGGAAAGCCAACCTGAAACGAATTTCTGGACATGACAGCAACACCTGTCCAAAGAAAAGCAAGCTTATGGCCACAGATTTAGATGCCTTTCAGTTGCCTTTATCTTTCGTTCCCCACCTCTTTGGGAGTGTCTCCTACTCTCTTATGGCACACGTCTTCCTGGACTGAACAGCAGCTTTTCTCCTAAGGGGATGGTGGAGCTGAAAGAAAAGAGAATGGCGATGTCAGGGCAGGCCGGGTTCCACGGTACCACCGACCCCGCAGCCCTCCCCAGCGAGCACAATGGCATCATAGTCACCACCCAGCTGAGCCCAGGCGAGTACAGAGACCGAATTCATGGTCTGTCCTCAGCCACCAGAGGAGGAAGGGAAAAAACAGCGCTGAGGTCATTCACGAAACGCTGCCGTGCCCTGGGTCTTGAACCGTAGATTTTCCCATACAGCTTTTCTTAGAAAATGCACTCGTTCTTCAATGAATATGCTTATCCTGGAGATGTACGTATGTATGGATTTAGGAGCTGTATCTTCAAATGGTTCAATATACAAGAGGGTAACAGACAAGAGCTTTGTTGTTTTCAATGAGAAAAATCCAACGATTTCCGTGAAGTTATGAAGAACCTCCACAAACACGTAATGCGGCTTTGTCAAAAGGTAGTAATGTCACATATGTTCTTTTAACAGCACATTTATGTTCCTATAAATACAGGATATGGGAGGTGTCATCCCAACCAATAAAATAAAAACACAAATTCCCCCCAAACGATAATGTACACTCTGCAACTGGATTTTCCTCTCTAGCCTCCTTTTCCAAAAGAATTCTGAAAATTAAACACCTGAAAACTCACCTGCTTTGATTTGTTTGCTTCGAAACCCATCGAGCCAATCATTAAGTTATGCCGGCTAAAGGCCCTGGAGTCAAACCTTTCTGATAAGGCTCCCAGCGATGTGGCTCTCTGAACCAACCAGATACTCTGGAGGATCGAATTGAGGCCTCCGGTATATGTTTCAGGGTAGAAGGGGGTCCGCTGGAGACCGCGCAGAATAAACGAAGGCACAATGAGAAATGTAAGTGATGTAAATTGGGTCGTGTGATTCTAAGGAATTTCTGGATATGCAGTAATAACCCTCTCAGAGAAGGTATCTTCCAATAATGTTTGTACTAGTAGGAACTTCCTCAGCTATGATAATAAAAGGAGGGTTTCTGACAGCACTGCTTCCTGCCCCTCACCCCCAGCTGCCTGAGGGCAATGTCAATCCCTTGATGTCCTCGTGGGCTCCCTCCTGTGGCTTCGCATGGTCCCTGCGGGTATTGTGGACATCAAAGATGGCTGAAGGGATGCCTGAGTGGCTCAGTCGAATTTTGGCTCAGGTCACCATCTCACGGTTCGTGGGTTCGAGCCCCGCGTCAGGCTCTGCGCTGGCAGCTCGGAGCCTGGAGCCTGCTTCGGATTCTGTGTCTCTTTCTCTCTCTCTGCCCCTCCCCTGCTCACACTCTCTCTCTCAAAAATAAACAAACATTAAACAAACAAACAAACAAACAAAAAGATGGCTCAAGACTGAATGGCCTTCTCCCACCCTCAGGAGTCCAAGCTCGTCTTGGCCGCACACAGGCCTCCTACAAGGGCACATGCTACTGAGTTCAGAAAGCCCGCATCTGTCTATAACGACTATCGTTAAAACTGATGGGTGAGGGAGCCAAAAAAGTTTTACTTCCTTCTCAACTCTTCAACCCCAAACCCCAATTTCCTCTCTTCTGGGTGATGCAGTTAGAAGTAATGTCACAAAGGAAGGTGCAGCACGGGGATGGACAGAGACTGAAAGGATACAGTCAGGCGTTCTTTAAACAACAAAAACGAAAACAAATAACATTCCACCTACGAGTGGCATTGTTTAACTTGTCAGCAGGGTGATGGATTTGTGAGTGGATTTATTTGCAAGTTCCCCAAAACCCCACGTGGCTAACATCAGAATCTTAAGTGAACTATGAGGCCACTCAAAGTTACTCTCTTACTCATGAACACAACAGCCAATAGGAGTGTTGAAAACTGGGGTAACTAAGGACAGAAGAGTAATACAGCTCAAACGGGGAAACAGGTAAGTTCCCCACACTGCAAGTGTATCCCTCACAGTTCAGAGCATATCAGCAAAAGCCATGACTAGTTTAAAGTGGTTAAGACCACCAGATTTCAGGAGCTTTATTTCAAGTTTGACTTGTATAAACACATACACAGTAATTCCATTTAATCGCTGTCTTTTCTGAATTTATATGCCACTGACTATGCCCCACTTATTTAACCAATTACTTGTAGGCATGGATTCTGCAAGCTCTTTCTTTTAAATGTCCTATTTTCCTTCTGGCATAAAAACCAGAGCTGTATTTCCCTGCCTTTGGATGCTGGTGCGATTGTTGTTTCCTGATAATAGCCTCTCCTCCTCCTCCTCCTCCTCCCTCCCTAAAGAAACTGAGTAGTCACTCAAATAATTGTAAAGTTCCAAATCTTTTCAGGAAGCAGACGTTTAAATACATTCATATGTTTAATATGCTTTTGGGTTTTTTTTTTTTGAGAGAGAAAGAGCACATGCCCGTGTGTGCGGCAGGCACATGAGAGGGGGAGGGGCAGAGAGAGAGAAAGAGAGAGAGAGAGAGGATCCCAAGCAGTATCTGTACTGTCAGCGCAGAGCTGGACACGGAGCGCCAGCTCACTATCACGTGAGATCATGACCTGAGCCGAAATCCAGAGCTGGACACTTAACTGAGCCACCCAGGCGCCCCACATTAGTAGGTTTTCAAAAATATTTGCATCTGATCTTTGATCAACGGCGGTTATGCTGTTTTCTCACTTGTCCAACTGTTCTATGGCTGGATTTCCTATCGGAGGGAAGGAGCTCCAAGAGTTTTGCACTGAGTTTGTAATCCCTCCAGCCTCCACTCTGGCTGTAATTGTTCAATTCCACTCCGCCCCCCCCCCCCACCTCACCCCCATCCTGCTCATCTCACCCCACCCTTAAATGCTGGATCCTAAAAAACAAAGTAATCCTTCACCGTCTGTCAGTTTTAGAATGAAAATTTCTCTCTGGAGCTTTCATTTGTGTACTTTCCCAGGGCAGCAACAAACAGAGATCTGAACTCCGTACTGTGAACCTGCCTTTGATTATACCCATCCCAAGTTACTAACCAACGATCTTTAAAAATATACGGTATCTGTTTGCATTGCCATCCCCGGGGGGCTGTTATAAACTGTATTATAGACGTCATATTGGTAAAGGTTATCTCCACCGCACAAATCACGGTAACCGTGAGTGAATAAGCCCAGAAGTGTTATTAATCTTTAGTCTAGACTTTCGAGTAATGTTGTTCTGACTTCAGGTGCAAAAGAGCTGAATACAGAACCTAGCCTATGAAACGACTTTAAAAATCATTCCTGAAAACGATAAAATTATCTGTTTAGAACCATGTGATCTGTACTAAGGGACTCCCAGGATTTCAGAGGTAAAAGCTACTTCGTTGGTCCCTGGTTCAGCTCCACTCAGCTACTGAGCAAGAAAAGTGGGCAAAGATATTCTCCCCTTTCACCGATAAGGCCCTTTAAATACCGGTGCCAAATGTTCTCCAGGTAACTTCCACCAAACTTTAGGACTTCCCACAGAGGTCAAAGTGTGAGGTAAAAGAAAGAAAACGCCAAGTTTTGAGTGGACGGGCCAATATTCCGGACATCCCTCCAAGGATGAGGCTGCCCTGGGCTGCACGGCCCAAGTCCGAATTCACTTTCCAGACTTTTACTCGGCACCCCGGAATCACGTGGGCGAGCTTCACTAGAAACACCGATGCCCGGGCCCCACTTCTAGACACTCGAATTTGAATGGTCTGGGATGGGGGCCCGGGCATCCGAATTCTTAAAAGTCTTCCGCTGATTCCGAAGCGCGGCAGAGCTGAGTCTCTGGAACCGGTTCTCTGTCACCACCGAACCGGCAATGATTTAGGAATCTCACGGGCCCCGCGGGTCGATGCTAATTACGACAACGGGACAGCCAAGCCCTCGGCTCTCCCGGCATCAGAAGAAGCCAGGCTCCGGGGCCTCCAGGCTCCTCCCTCACTCCCCAAAGGAAACCCAGTAGTCCCCGGAGTCACCTCGTGGGCTCGCAGCTTGCTGATCTCGGGCGGTGGGCGAACATGGACCTATTTCCTGTGAGGAGACCGAAGGGGCGCGGGCGGGAGGGGCTGTTGCCCGGGAGACCAGAAATGCACTTCCGGCGCGGATCACGTGGGGCGCGCCACCGGAAGTCCCGGGCCCGCCGCCGCCGCCGCCGCCGCCACGTCCGCGCTGCGTTCTACGCCACGTGGGGAACTGTCGCGAGATGAGGCTCCGCCTCCCGGGGCGGAGCGTCGGGATGGCTGGAGACGGGCAGGGGGCGGGACGGCTGTACCTGCGCCGACCGGTGTGGCGGGGCCGGAAGGGGAGGGTCGTTTCTGCGCCCCCTTTGTCCCCGCGCCACTTTCTTGACTTTCGGCTTTTCGCCCTTCTCTCAGCTCCGTCGTCTCCCCACTCCTGTCCTTAGATAGCCTTTCCTCTTTTTTGAAAAACTAGAACGGCTAGAGGTCGTGGCCCAGGAGGACGCGCCCAGCTTTTGGAAATAGCCACCGAAATCTAGTCCGACTGCGATTCTAGCATTTAGCTTATTAACCTTCCGAGCCTCGGGTTCTTGCCCATAAGATGCGAATAATCCCTCGTGCCCAGTGCCTGGTGCTATATACCAGACCAGAATTAGTACACATTAACCTGATTTGTATCACAGCCATTGTCAGCGACACCTGTCCTGTTAGCATCACAGGGGGACTCATGAATAACCGAGCAAAACCCACTGGGGTAATTTGGAAAACCACGGCAAGAACCCTAAAAGGGGAATAATTTGTCCCGGAATTTTCACTTCTGGGAATTTATTCCGAGGAAAAACAGACGTTAAGCCAGATGTTCATTACAGAATTATTTTTAAAAGTGAAAACCAAACAACTATAAATACCTTAATAAGAGGAGATACCTGAGTCAGTGAGACTCTACCCATGGCGAGGATGTTATTACCACGCTATTCCTGTACCACAGAAGAATCGCACAGTATGGAAGATTAACGAATAGGTTCTGGGTGCCTACTATGTGTGAGGTATTATTCTACATCTGCGCGGTCCATCGAAGTCACTAGACACACGTGGCTGTTGAGAGCTTGCAATGTGGTAGTCTGAACTGAGGTATGCCGTAAGGGTAGATCACAGTGGATTTTGAAGATTTATTATGAGACAAAGAACGTAGACTATCTCATTTTACTAATAATAACATGTTAGGGAAGGACTGTTGAGATAAAAGGAGGTTAAAATTAATTGCACCTTTGTTTTTTTACTTTGTTAATGTGACTGCTAGAACGTTTAAAATTTTTTATTTATTTTTGAGAGAGAGAGAACGTGAGCAGGGGAAGGGCAGAGAGAGAGAGGGAGACAGAGAATGCCAAGCAGGAGCTAGACGCGGGGCTCAAGCTCAAAACGGTGCGATCTTGACCTGAGAGAAAATCAAGAGTCCGAGGATTAACCGAGGGGGTCACCCGGGCGCCCCACTGCTAGAACATTTGAAATGATCTGTGTCCTATGCGTCATATGTTTATATATTTCTATTGAACAATGGTATTCTATTTACCAGATATACAGTGGTGAACAAGACAGGTTTTGACCTCATAAAAGTAACACTATTGAGTGGGGTATAGACAATAAACAGATAAATAATGTCATTGTGTATCTCAGTTCAGTGACAAGCATAAAGCAGAATAAGGGCCAGAAAGGGTGTATATATTGAGGGGAGTTATTTTAGATGGGATTCTTCCTCCCCTGTTCAGAAAATGGATGTGGGAGGAATGAGGTGTGTATAGATAGAATGGGAAGGGGGATGGCAGGAGGGTGGTGTCTTCTGGGCAAAGTCAGATATGGATTGAGGCTGATAGATCGGTTGGGCCTGCTGGAATCTCTGCCTTAGGGAAGAAACCACATCGGGACAGGAAGAAAAGAGAGAAGAGGGGTAAGATACCGGAGAGAAAGAGCTCAGGGGGCCCCTGGGAAGGGCAGAACAGAGCAGGCCTCCAGTGGGCAAGTCTCGGGCAGGTAGTGGAGAAGTAGGACCACATATGCTATAGCGCTGGGGGGGGGGGGTGGTGTGAGTATATTTACATAATGAGTAGATTGTGCTACTAAATAGGATAGTACTTTGGCTGCTGCCACAGAGACCCAGAAGGAGACTCTTGAAAATGTATTTCTGTCTCTCTGGGTGTAAGGTGTTCGGAGCAGTAAGGGAGACGCATGGGACCAGGGACTCCAATTTCACCTATCTTGGAGCGCCCCACTCCCTGGTTTGTTGCCTTGGCCCACATGGCCCAGTTCCCACTGTGCCTCTCTTCCAGCCAGTAGGAAGGAGGGGAGGGGAAGCTGGGGCAGCCCCCTTCCCTCTAAGGTAGGGTTTTCCGCCTGCGTGCAATTCCTATTTGGGGCTGCACAGCTCTGTGTTCTTTTTTGAGGCTCTCTTGAGCATTGTAGGATTCTAGTAGCATCCTTGGCCTTTACCCACTAGATGACAGTAGCATCCCCCAGTAGGACAACGAAGAATGTCTCCAGACGTTGTCAAATGTCCCCTGGAGGGCAAAGTCACCCTTGGATGAGAACCCTTGCTGTAAGTGTCCTACTACCTGGAGGGTACTCACAACACTTCCGCTCGAATCTCACTGATGGCCAGAAATTCATCATCCAGCCATCCTGAGGGCAAAGGCGTCTTGGAATTGTCTGCTGGCCAGGTGTCCAGCTAAAAGTTCGCGAAAGAAGGCAACAAGATGCTAGAAGATTCTCCTGCCCCCGTGTTGCCGCAGGGGATGGAAACCCCGCAGCTGACTGAAGACACGACCCTGTTGTTTTCATCTTCCAGACTGAGTTTTAGTCATTCTTCATGAAAAAGCAAAAAACAAAAACAAAAAACGTTTATTTATTTTTGAGAGAGAGAGAGAGAGAGAGAGAGAGAGTACGTGCGAGGTGGAGGAGGGGCAGAGAGAGGGAGACAGAGGGTCCAAAGCAGGCCTTGCACTGACAGCAGAAGGCTCAGACTCACGAACCGTGAGATCGTGACCCGAGCTGAAGTCAGACGCTTAATTGGCTGAGACACCCAGGCGCCCCTAGTCATTATTCATTTTTTTTAAAGTTTATTTTGAAGAGAGAGGCAGAGAGACAGAGGGGGGCGGGGGAGCAG